GCCTCCCGCAGTTTGGTCAAACTCATGCTGGTAGCTTCGCGAACATTATCCAACCATCTCGTCTTCTGTCATCCCCTTCTCCTTGTGCCCTCCATCTTTCCCAACATCAGGGTCTTTTCCAGGGAGTCTTCTCTTCTCATGAGGTGGCCAAAGTATTGGAGCCTCAGCTTCACGATCTGTCCTTCCAGTGAGAACTCAGGGCTGAATTCCTTAAGAATGAAGAGGTTTGATCTTCTTGCAGTCCATGGGACTCTCAAGAGTCTCCTCCAGCACCATAATTCAAAAGCACCAAGTCTTCGGCGATCAGCCTTCTTGATGGTCCAGGTTTCACTTCCATACATCACTACTAGAAAAACCATCGCTTTGACTATACGGACCTTTGTTGGCAAGGTGATGTCTCTACTTTTTAAGATGCTGTCGTTTTAAGATGGTAGACACCACAGACTTCCTTGCTCAAACTCCAGCTCTCCAAAGGTGCAAGGGCTCCTGGGATTGCAATTGCAAAGGCCCGGGGGGTTGCTAGGAGCTGTTTTCATGCCATTTTTGCACTTTTTAAGGGTCGTTTTTGCCCCTTTGCGTGCCAAATCCGGGTTCATGGTGATCCATGTGTGTGTGCATGCTTTGAACATGTGTACATGGGGAGTTGCCTGTATACAGTTGAGGAAAAGTTGCTTCGGCAAATTGATCTGACAAAGCAATTAAACACTATAGCCTTGAAAGGAAGAAACTCATCTCTTTAAAAAAGAAAAGAAAACAGTCAAAAAAATCAGAAAAAGATGGAGGGTAGCAGCTACCTCTGGCATCAGGTTCTGCCTGCCTTTAAGGGTGGCAGAGTGGAAAGAGGACAATCTACTCCATGGAGCAGAATCCACTGGGATGTTCTCCCGCTTCATTATGATTAATTTTAATTGCAAAAGGCTCAGTAATGGTTTTTTTCACCTTTCCTCCCTTCCAACAAGGCCTTGTGCAGGAGAACCTCTGGGTGGATTTATTCAGCTCTGCGTTAGCTGATGTGGAAAGACTGTCATTCTGATTTTTTGACCAAGGGACTAAAATATATTGAGCTAGTGCTGTTCTGATGTTGGTCTTTTTATCTGCTCACTGTGAGGTTAATCCTTCTGAAGCGAAGCGCAGCCTTAATGGTGTGCCTGTAGGACTGCAGTCTGTCAAAACAAACAGGAGCAAACCATTCTCTTCTTTTTCATAATTTGACTTGGTTACTGGCCTGGGTTCTCTGCAGTGAATTACTGAGGTTAAGAACACTTAAGAATAGTGGTTTGGATGATGATTGGGGGGCTTGGAAACTGAGTGAGACCAACTTTATTATTATTATTGTTTTTTTAAAAAAAGATTAAACATGTTCTGTTCCAAGAAGCACTGAAGCCTTCAGAGTTTATTGAACTTAAGTCAGGAAACATTCAGAGATGGGAGAGATGATTTTTCTAGATTAGACAATGAACCACATCTTTGAAAATCCATTTTTACCCCCTCTTTCTTTTTTATTTTAAAATGTATTATCTGATCTTTTGTAAAATACTATATAGCAGGGTGGCTTACAACACATAAAATACAATAAAACCAGTCTATAAATATCTATAAAGCACAATTTAAAACACCAGTAAAACATCAGTACATATTGGTTGGTTTAAAGGGGGGCGGGGACATATTGTGAAGGCTGGTCCAAATAGTGCGATTTTCGAAAGACAACAGAAGAGGGCCAGGAGGGTTGGGTTACTGCCAAATCACTACTGGCAGGGAGTTCTACAGGTCATGAGCTGCCACACTCAAGAATTAGTCCCTAGTAAAGGCCAACTGAACCTCAGGGAAGTGGGTTGCCACCAGAAGTGCCCCATCAAAGGATCTCAGGGATCAAGGTAGAACACAAGGGACTGAGTGGTCCTTATGTTACTTTGGCCGAAGTTCTTTGTGAATTAGGACAAAAACTTTGATCCTGACTCAGTAGCAAATCGGAAAGCAGAACAGCTCTCCCAGCAACAGAGTAGCATGTAGCTAGTAATGCACTCCTGCGAGCAGTCTGGCCACAGCAGTAATTGCAGCAGCTTCTGGACCAGATGCGAGGGAAGCCCAACATAAACTGTGTTCCAGCAATCGGGTCTTGGGGTTGCCAATGCATGGACCACTGTCTTTAGGCTCTCCCAGTCCAGACTGGTCATAACAGCCAGAGCTGGTGGAAAGCACTCCTGGCCGCAGAGATCCCTTGAGCATCAACCTCTGGCTAGTTCACCAGCCCCTTTCGGAGAGAAATGACTCTGCCCCTGTAATCCCTTGCTCTGCTAACCGAACCAACCCTCCCTGGCTTGATTTTACCAACCATGCAATGTGAATAAAGAACAGTCTTTCGTCCAAAAGCCTGTACATCATTAAAGCTTCAAACCCTCTTCAAACCTGCATTGAAAGTGCACCAGACTCGCGATACTCTTTTCAGTATCCCCAGAACTTTGGCAGAATCAGAAGGCAGATTGGTGGCTGCTGAGCAAGTACAATTCTCTTTATCTCAATTCAAGGTTATTTTTTATTTTTTATTTTTTTTGCTTAGGGTCACCAGCCAAGCTTAGCCCAGGGCATTGCCCTGTTGTTGTTGTTTAGTTGTTTAGTCATGTCCAACTCTTTGTGATCGCATGGACCAGAGCGTGCCAGGCACTCCTGTCTTCCACTGCCTCCCGCAGTTTGGTCAAACTCATGTTAGTAGCTTCGGGAACACTGTCCAACCATCTCGTCCTCTGTCGTCCCCTTCTCCTTGTGCCCTCCATCTTTCCCAACATCAGGGTCTTTTCCAGGGAGTCTTCTCTTCTCATGAGGTGGCCAAAGTATTGGAGCCTCAGCTTCAGGATCTGTCCTTCCAGGGAGCACTCGGGGCTGATTTCCTTAAGAATGGATAGGTTTGATCTTCTTGCAGTCCATGGGACTCTCAAGAGTCTCCTCCAGCACCAGAATGTATCAAATTGTATAGTAATCACGAGACTGAATGCCTGACCTACTGAAAGCACTCGTTCCATACATAGCTAATCCTGCAGGATGGGAAAAGAGAACTGATACCAGTTTCATTTGGCAGCAGTGCAGAGAGGCAATGGGTGTGAAAGCTTCTTTGGAATTTGCACTGCCTGCCCACATGCTTGCCCCTTTTGCCCTTGCACTGCCTTCTTAACCCGGACATTTGTAATTAAACAGATCTTTTCAAAAGCACCGAGATGCTCTCTCTTCCAAAGGAAAAGGATAGTGGAGCGGTGTGGAGGTCACCTAGACCTCCCTGTTCCTTGGGGAAAGGAGAGCATGCAACACAATGCAAGCACAATCTACCCAGAGTTTAATTCTTTAAAGGGGCTTTTCTCATTTAAATCAATGGGGCATAAAAGTCCTTAATGTTGTCTGGCTTGTGCCCTACATTAATGGTGCAAAAACCATTTGCGAAAACAGTCTCAACGGAGTAGGGTAGGAAAGCTGCTGAAAATACACAGAGTGCCAATTATTCAGCAATAAATAAGCACAACCGGCTCTCATGTAACTAACTTCATGGACACAAGTATCTAGAGATTCGATCCTGTGCACACTTGGAAATTAACCACCCCAAACAAAATGGGATTTCTGTGTCAACTTACACGATGGTGTGCTCCACCTCAGTGAATATAGCTGCTATAGATTATATAATATATCTCTTTGTACAATATACCACTTTTATGCCCTGGGCTCCTGCAGGAGGAAGGTTGGGATATAAATTGAATAAATAGCTTTATTGCACTCTCCTATTTTCTCTCGTTCTCTTTTACCGTATTATACACATTTGAATAATGTGTTCCATATGCTTCCAATCTGGTTTTCTTAATGCTGGCCGTTACCTGCAATGAATTGATTTGAATAAATAATAATAAGTTCAACACTGCTCATTTGCCCATTATACATGCTTACTGAAGTGCTACTCTTCTAAAAGCTTCTTAAAAACAAAAAACCGGAAAAATCCCTCCCTTTTACCATTCAATAATGCCTGTGGCTGTCCTACATCTGCTCTGCCTTGTGATTTTACAGGAAACCACTTCATCTTTCCTCCCCCGCGTCCCTGGCCCCACTTGTGAATGCATTACACAGCTTAAGTAAGCTACAAAGCCAATAAATACTTTTGTGACACCCCGAGGACTAACAAGTTTATTACGGTGTAGGCTGTCGTGGACTGAGGTCCACAAAAGCTTGGGCCACAATCAATTTGTTAGTCTTTTTAAGTTGCTGCAAGACTCATGTTTTTCACTGCAAGAGACAGCTGGCTCTCTGGGCGCTGCTACAAGAGCAAGCAGCAAGTCATCACTCCTCAGTCCCTTCGGGTTGCCTGTCACTCTGGCAGGGCATCTTTGTCAGGTGTACAAGAGGCATTCAGCAGGTGCCACCATCCCTGGCAGGGAAGTACTGTACAGCTAAGCTTCAGCTGTTGCAGTTCTGCCAGTAGAATCTACAGGATCACCGCCAAGACAAACTAAGCAGAACAAGCTGGCAATGCAGTTTGTCCCTTTTACCAGTCCTCTCTCCTCTTTGCATCTTAAATGGCAACGACCACAAAAGCCTGGGGGGCATTCTAATAACAAATGTGACCTTTCCCTCCCTGTTTTCCCAGGCTCACACAACTTGGACTTGAGCATTCACGCATTTCTGGGAAGAGTGCATCTGAGGCTGTTGGATACCTATTGAATAGCTATTTTGTACTATTAAGAAATCTGGCAAGTATTAACCACCAGCCTTGTTGTGGTTGCCAAACGCTGTTCCTTCCGCAGTGGTGCCACGCATAAGCTTGAGCTGTCCTCCCCACCCCCCAAAAAAATTATGCTTGTAAACCAAAAGAAGCATAAATCACTTAATTCAAATCAATGAATGAAGAATCCTCAAATCATTGGGCTTGGTACAGTCATTGATTCTCCCTAGTATTTCACAGCTGAGAACAGAATCATAGAGTTGTAGATCTGGAAGGGACCATCTATTTCAACTTCCTGCCCACAGCATGCAGGTGGGCTCGAACCACCAACCTTCTGGTTTACAGCCAGATGCACTGACCCATGGCACCAGCAGGGACACTTATTCGTGTTTAGTACTACTGTAATCTCATGAGCAAGACATAAAGGCATTGGTCAACCCTCTCTTATTTTTTCTTGGTATTGGTTACTCAGAACATGCAGGATTTATTTCACCATTTGCCCCGATAGACCTATCCTTTCTTTACAATGTTCTTGAAATGTCACCATCACCACCACTGTCTAGAACTTCATTCCACAGTTCCCATTTATCAGTCATCCAATAACAAAAGGTTTCTGGGCGACGTGCAAAACAAAACAATATCACAGTCCCAAGAAAACAAGAATCAGTGTAGCAGCAAATGAAACAACCGCAAAAGCAAAGCAACGGTTCCAAGGGAGAAAACTGGAAAGTAAAGTATCACAGAAACAATCAACAAATATGGAAAGCCAATGGAATTGATTCCAGAGAGCGAAAACAACCCTGTTTAAGCCACAGCATAATGAAACAATAAAATAAAAATTGATTAAGCCTGTGGAATTATTTATTGGGTTGGTTGGGTTTGTTTCTGTACATTTTTTTTAATTTGACATTTAAATAGATTTTGTCTCAAAGTCACTTTAAGACATTGTATCAAGCGATGAAAAAATGTGCTGAATAATAATATACAGTATATATATTTTAAAATTACATTTATGTCCCATCTTTAATCCAAGGAGCTGAAACTGGCATACACACTTCTCCCTCTCTCTGCTTAATCTTAACAACAATACTGTGAGTTAAGTTAAACTAAGATGGCGAGTGGTCCAATGTCAATCCGTAGGCTTCATGACTGAAGGGGGATTTGAACCCTGGTCGCCCAGGTCCTAGTCCAACACTCTAACCACCACACCACACTGTGGCATGTAGTAAAGCAAACTGGGAGCATAGCAGAAGCAGACCTCATGCCCACCCTACGCATGCTTGCTTATTTATTTATTATTAAATTTAGCTCCTTCCCTTCCTCTCAAATGAGTCCACAGCAGCAAGTTCACCAGACTTCCTACATGCACACACACTGCGTACACCTGTGCTTTTCAGGTGCAATTAAAAACCCTGCAGAAGTTACTATTGGGCTTCATTTTTACCAAACAACAGAGGAAACCCTCAAATAAAACCTAATGGTGCATGTCTTGGCACAACTGTGCAGTTGGCCTCAACTGCCTTGACTTGCTCACTCCCATTTCAAAGCAACGTTTCCAAGTGTTTTCCTGGAAAACATTCATTGTCAGGGCAGAAGCTATTTATAATCTGACAAACCATGTTTCTGGACGAATGACATCAAAAGTGGCCGATTGCCATGGGAGCAAACAGGTTTCTGAACACACATCGCAAAGACCATACAAAAGGAACGTTGTGCTTGACAAATCGTCCATTTCCGTATGGAAAGGCCCAAGTAAACCCACACAATGGCTTGCAGGCAGGCTGATGGGAGGCACAAGAAACAGCTGCAGAGATATTTGCACGTAGACCCTCTGTGGGAGCCCTATGTTCTTGTCTGCCTCAGTGGCCTCAGAGGTTTGGCACTCCTCATCAACCCCAAGGTACTCAGCTCCTGTTTACCTGTTGCGTGACTCATCTCATCACACCACCTCATTGAACCAGCGTTGTATAATGATTTGTTGGCAGCTAAAAAAGCCAATGCAATTCTGGGCTGCATCAATAGGAGTATAGCATCTAGATCAAGGGAAGTAATAGTGCCACTGTATTCTGCTCTGGCCAGACCTCACCTGGAGTACTGTGTCCACTTCTGGGCACCACAGTTCAAGAAGGACACTGACAAACTGGAACATGTCCAGAGGAGGGCAACCAAAATGGTCAAAGGCCTGGAAACGATGCCTTATGAGGAACGGCTAAGGAAGCTGGGCATGTTTAGCCTGGAGAAGAGGAGGTTAAGGGGTGATATGATAGCCATGTTCAAATATATAAAAGGATGTCACATAGAGGAGGGAGAAAGGTTGTTTTCTGCTGCTCCAGAGAAGCGGACACGGAGCAATGGATCTAAACTACAAGAAAGAAGATTCCACCTAAACATTAGGAAGAACTTCCTGACAGTAAGAGCTGTTCGACAGTGGAATTTGCTGCCAAGGAGTGTGGTGGAGCCTCCTTCTTTGGAGGTCTTTAAGCAGAGGCTTGACAACCATATGTCAGGAGTGCTCTGATGGTGTTTCCTGCTTGGCAGGGGGTTGGACTCAATGGCCCTTGTGGTCACTTCCAACTCTATGATTCTATGATTTGTCTCGAGAGACAATGGAGTGCACCTCCAGGAGCGAAGTCAAACCGCTGGAGAATCACAGCACCTGCTGTGGCTGCAGAGACCGGTAATTCATAACCTCTGCTTCCTGTATTGTTTCTGCTGTGTTAGTAGTGCCAAAGCGACCTTGCTGGGGCGCAAGCCTGGGCTGTGTGTATGTAGGACTTCCAGAACATGCAGAGAAATGAAGAGGGTGTAGCAGGAGGGTGAGATTCCCTGGTTTCTTCAGCAGCCTGCCTCCACTCTGCCTCTTTACCCTCTTCTGCTTCTGCCTTTGATTCTGGACTGCTCTCTGCCACATACTCTTCCTGCTCACAAAACCCTGCTATCTCTTCAGCTTCCAACACCTCCTCCTCCCACTCATTGTCGTCCTCCACCAATCCCCTGGCTCTGAGCCTTCTTCTTCTGGGGGTTCCTTTGTAGGTTCTCCAGCTGGTGCCTCCCACTCCTCCTGTGCATCCATCCAGTCCATGATATTAGGAGTAAATTGGCTTTCTGAAATTAATGTGTAATCGTTACATTCCATTTGTCTGTTAATGGGGTGCGCATGTCAATGCAATGAGGTAGGTCAGGCTGCGATGACAGTAAGTTGCACAAAGCCACCCATGGAGCTTTGTGGCTGAGCCACTGAGTGACTGAATCTTGGGATAGACTCCAGGATCAGAGGTCTAAAATATTTGTCTGATAAATATATGATGGAGGGGGTCCTCCTCCAAGAACCAGTTGTACAGAACTGTTTTTTATTTCCTCTACTTCTGAGTTCACCCAGTGATGGATATTTCTATAGTAACAAACAGCTGTTGTCTTCTAAATAAAAAGGGGAAACCAATTAAGCTGATGTGCAGCTCCTGGCTTCAGTTCCATTCTTACTACAGAGGCACAGTTGACTTTTGCGGCACGCCTAAGCAATGAAGGGCAGAGGAAGGATGCAGGTGACGCTGTGGTCTAAACCACTGAGCCTCTTGGGCTTGCCGATCAGAAGGTCGGTGGTTCGAATCCCTGTGATGGAGTGAATTCCCGTTGCTCTGTCCCAGGTCCTGCCAACCTAGCAGTTCAAAGGCACGCAAGTGCAAGTAGATAAATAGGTACTGCTGTGGCAGGAAGGTAAACGGCGTTTCCGTGTGCTCTGGTTTGTCACAGTGTCCTGTTGTGCTAGAAGCGGTTTAGTCATGCTGGCCACATGACTCAGAAAGCTGTCTGTGAACAAACGCTGGCTCCCTTGGCCTGAAAGTGAGATGAGCGCCGCAACCAGTGCCAGATTTACGTATAAGCTAAACAAGCTATAGCTTAGGGGCCCCCCAAATATTAAAGTGAAAAAAACCTGGATGTACGGTACCTTTACAAAATATAAGATAAAAAACAAATAAAATAAAACCTACATACAGCAACAGTGTTTTGTGTTGTGTAGGCTCCTATTTGTTATGTGCAAATGGCTTTAGATACCTATTAGATCCATAAATCACCATATAGCATATTTGTTGTTTAGATTTCTTCTTCTTCTTCTTCTTCTTCTTCTTCTTCTTCTTCTTCTTCTTCTTCTTATTATTTCCACCTTAATCAATGGAATTACAGTGGTACCTTGGTTCTCAAATGCCTTCGTACTCAAATGCCTTGGTTCCCAAACACTGAAAACCCAGAAATAAGTGTTCTGGTTTTCAAACGTTTTTCGGAAGCCGAACGTCCAATACACCTGCAACAAGCCGCACCTTGGTTTTCAAACATTTCGGAATGGATTAAGTTTGAGAACCAAGGTACCACTGTATTTGGCACTTTTGTTTTTGCTATTTATTTTGCGTTTTTGTTTTTGAGGCTTTTTCGGTTAATTTGTTTTTGTGACTACAAATACTGTCTTATTTATTTTATAGTACAGTACATTGATTACTGCTTTCATTTTATGGATCAATGGTTTCGTTAGATAGAAAAAAATCATGTTAAATTGCTGTTTTAGGGGTTGTTTTTAAAAGTCTGGAATGGATTAATCCGTTTTGCATTATTTTCTATGGGAAAGCGCATCTTTGTTTTGGAACGCTTTGGTTTTGGAACAGATTAAGTTTGAGAACCAAGGTGCCACTGTATGCCATATTGGCAAAACAGCCAGATCTGCTGCTCCTGTGGATCCTGCCGCCTGAAGCAGTCACTTCACCTTGCTTCATGGGTGGGCTGGCCCTGCTTAGATGAGCACTGAATTATATGACACTCACACCCCAGCAACACACATTCCCTGAAGGCTGTGCCTCACCTGAACAGCTCTAAGATGGATGGATTTGGGGGGACTTTTTTTTCTAAAATATGTTTTGCAGTAGGAAGTGAGAGCTGTATGGAAGTGAGAGCTGGACCATAAAGAAGGCTGATCGCCGAAGAATTGATGCTTTTGAATTATGGTGCTGGAGGAGACTCTTGAGAGTCCCATGGACTGCAAGAAGATCAAACCTATCCATTCTGAAGGAAATCAGCCCTGAGTGCTCCCTGGAAGGACAGATCCTGAAGCTGAGGCTCCAATACTTTGGCCACCTCATGAGAAGACTCCCTGGAAAAGACCCTGATGTTGGGAAAGATGGAGGGCACAAGGAGAAGGGGACGGCAGAGGACGAGATGGTTGGATAGTGTTCTCGAAGCTACCAGCATGAGTTTGACCAAACTGAGGGAGGCAGTGGAAGACAGGAGTGCCTGGTGTGCTCTGGTCCATGGGGTCACGAAAAGTCGGACACGACTAAACAACCTGCTTTGAGCTTCTGCTCAATAACTAACAGTGAGATCTAAGT